GTCACAAAGTTAGTTTAACTCGGCACATGATGATTCACACTGGTGAAAAGCCATTTCCATGCATGAACTGTGGAAAAACTTTTTGTCTCAAAGTCAGTTTAACTCGGCACATAATGACTCACACAGGTGAAAAGCCGTTTCCATGCGTGAACTGTGGAAAGGGTTTCCGTCTAAAACGGCATTTAACTCACCACATGATGACTCATACAGGTGAAAAGCCGTTTTCATGCGTGACCTGTGGAAAAAGTTTTAGTCTAAAACAAGATTTAATTCGGCACATGATGGTTCACAATGGTGAAAAGCCATTTTCATGTGGGAACTGTGGAAAACGTTTTAGCCTAAAACAAGATTTAACTCGGCACATGATGATTCACACTGGTGAAAAGCCGTTTTCATGTGTGACCTGTGGAAAAAGTTTTAATCAAAAACAGCATTTAACTCGGCACATGAGGATTCACACTCGTGAAAAGCTGTAGAACTATTTTCCATTCATTCTAAAAGTCACTTAGATGAAAACTGAATGGCTTTCATGTCTATAACGTGGGAAAATTGTTTAATTGTCAAATTTGTTAAATGTGATAATTTTGATTTTGACATTTGGATACTTGGAAATATACAACATGAACTTGAAGTATTGATTTGTATTATTCTGTATGGAGATAATGAGTGGCATGAATGAGACTTACTTTAATACATTTTTATTCCAAAATAAAATGTGCTGTTGTGCAGTATGCAGTAGATGTTCATTAATTATTTTGCACTTTGAAATTTACTGTTAAAAATATTTGGCTATGTCTTTAAAGCAAAACTAGATTGAAACAGATGCTATTATTTGTTTCAGATTTCTGGGTTCAACAATAAACATTCTCTTTGCAGGTGGCCCTCCCATACTCACCACGCCGTTTTTGTGTCTGTGCATGTAGGGGGCAGTCGTGAGGGGGGCGGGGGGAAGCCCCTGTCTACTAGTAATTGCCGACTATGTGTTTGTGATTTTCTTCATCCATTAAAAAAAAAAAAAAAAACTGAATCTATAACTAAACTCATAGATTTTTTTGTAACACTAGCTAGTGTGATACATTTCAGTAAATGTTCCTCATTTGTACATGTATTTCTTAAGAATATGTGACTGGTAGTAAACAGGCCTACGTGAGGTTACTCAAATTTAGCTTTCTGTGTTGCAGGGTATGA